TCCAGTCACAGTGGGGACACCACTCGATGAGTGCAGGCACCAGCAGCTGAAGAGTCTAAAACAGAACGAAACACGCGTCTTGGATCTTACTGCAAGTCACTAAGATGAATACTAATAAAATAACATCTTACTAATTGATAATATGATGCTTGTTTATCAAGTAAAAACTAGAGGGCACGTTTTACTGTTAAATCAAAACATTTTTTAATTGATATAGCATTATTGATATGAAATCTCGATAGTTACTTATTTATAAGCTGAAGTTAAGCGAACTAGATGCTTTATTGGTAAAAATGAATAAAAATACTAGTTTTTAACAAGCCAAAAGTATGTGTATTGATATTCACAAAAATGTTCACTATAATCCGTAACAGCTGTTAAGTCGTTAGTAGATTTGGTAAAATACGATTTATGCTATTTTCTGGCATTAGTAACTTGTAAATACTTGAAGATTAAATCTTTTCAAACTCATGACTTTCTAGTGTCATCAGATGATACTTTGGGCATTAACCATCAGAAAAAAAACAACGCATGAATACTAACCAAGCTACACTTTTGCAAGATATTCATTTATTTTTAAACTGATTAAACAGACACTTAATTTCATTTTTAGTAAGACATGAGCATCATCCTAGTGTGTTTTTGGTTATTTTAAAATGTAAGACATCAAGTTAATGCATCATTCTGAAAACCAGTGAATAATAAGTTCTGTGAATAGATTTGATTTGTTTACTTGACAGGAATCTAACCTGCAAAGTGGTAGTTTGGTGGTGTATACATTGTTATACACCTTTAAACTGATGTTAACCTAATGTGTAATTTGAAACAGACACGTTTTGTTATAAAGTTTCGCAAATTAGTTTTAACAGTCACACATTCAAACGCGTCTAAGACTGGCAAATGATATTCCTTAATATTTTGATGGAATAATTAGATGATTTCGGTAGTTTTATTTCTTGAAAATATTCATCTTGAACCTCACTGGTGAATTTTAACAATTGTAGTTTTACAGACTGTCTGCACTATACGCGACGATTTCGTTTCAAAAGGATATTGGATTTTTAAGGCTTTTAATCAAAAACGTAACCGAAAGGTATCATTTAGTTATAGTGGAGTCAAATAATCATGAAAATAATGTAGTATGATATTATACTCTATATAGTGTGTCATTTGGAAAGCCATTCAGCACACAACACTGACTGAAACCTCTCCATCTGGGTATCAATGTGGTCTACACTGAACACTAAGAAACAGGAATCTCCAGTAGTCACCACTTGATGACTGACTAGTGACTTTATTCGAGACCTACAAGGGTTATTGAATGGTTGAGAGGGCTTATTGATGAATTGCCCAACTTCGTCACTAAGTGATATAAGTTCGAACTACCAGGGGAACACCAGCTTCCTTATGATAGGAGCACACTGTGCTTCATATTGTCATTTAGCTCGAAATCTAGGTTGAGTAGAGCTCATAGTTGATTAACTCATAACATTTAACCCCAAGATAATCAATTATTTGAGGAATCTCATATTAGGACGAAACAACTGTCCAGTGCTCCCAGATTTTCAATGGTTCCTCAACTGATGTCAGTCCGTGATGAATACTACCTCTAAATTAAAAATCTTCATTCATCTCAAAAAAATACTATTCTGTAGATTTAATTTTGATAAATGAAATTACAGATAAGCAGGCTAATAAGCCCGAATTTCTTATTAGAAACAAATTAGGTGTTGTCAGTGCTTTGAGAAACAACAGATAATCATTCATTTCCCTATGAACCATTAAAAGGCTTGGTTAGTTAGTAAACGAATTACATATAGAATTTCATTCAGATGCATATATTTTAAAGGATAAGATTCATCTGCATATTTGTTCAAACATGATTGCATGTCTATTTAGAGGTTTGTAGGGATTTACTTATTGATCTCAGGGGGATAACCAACAATACCCAGCAACGGCACTGAATGGAGGTCACTCTATATCGTGAACTGAACCATGCAGGAAATATAGACCATTAGGTTCTGAACAAGTGGCTAAATGGTAAGGTACGGGTTTCGGAACCTAAACGTACTAGGTTTGATCCCTGGAAGGGTCATGAGTTTGTACTACTCAGGAGTCCCATACTAGTAAGAAGCACATGTCCACTGCTCTCAGGTTTCTAATAATTCTTTGACTGATGTCAGCTCACGATGAATATCAACCTGAAATCAATAGTCACAGGAAAAAAGAAGCTGAGACATTGTAAGTTCCTTGATTTTGAAAAATATTACAAAAGTACATTTCAGAATCGGTTAGTATTCAAGAAAATAAGCATTATTATTCATTATTTGTCTCTTGGATTCCTAGTGGAACATAGAGGCATCACTACCACGCCGCCATTGCACTCTCTTCTCTGCAGTCTTTTCAACCTGGCTCCACCACTGCCCGCAAGCTCTCATTTCCTCCTCACACCACCTCCTCCAGTGCCACCCTCTCCTCGGAATGCCCGATTCGTCGTTTCCCATCTGCCGTTCAACTTGAGGCAGAGAGCGCAACGTCCTCGAATGGTCTCCTCATTGTAAGCCCAATCCATCGCCAATTTCTTCTGCATATTTGTTGGGCGATGGGTTCTTAGTTGGCTCGTTGTCAGGCCAGAGTGAGTTCCTTGTTGCTCATTTTTATTATTCTGGCTATCTGATCTTCAGTGTCTAGTATAGAGTGAGCGTAGACGACAGCTGTAACGCTCCACCAATTCTCTCAACCATCACATAGAAGCACTGACATAAATGACATTAGTGTTGAATGCCCGGATCTTGATCACCATTTATGCTGAGTGCAGTGCAGTGCAGTGAAGTAGATCTCCACACTGATTTCAGATGAATGAATGAAGGGTTGTGTTGCTGTCTTTCCGATCCTGGCTGCTTTGACATCCTTATCCGTGCCTGTGACACCTAGTGATTAAAACGATTCAGCCTTGCCTAGGTACGTGAAAGAGACAACATCATCTAGGTTTCTCCCATTGATGGTGATCGGTCCCTCTTGATTGTTGTCGTTGTTGATTGGGTATCTTCATTAACTCTGTCTTTCCTACCTTCACTTGAAGTCCCGTCCACCTTCGCTGTCCCATCTGTCAAAATGTTGCTTTTTGCATGTTGATATTCGAGTTTGTGCAACAAGACATTAGACGTCAATCATCATCAGCAAAATCAAAATCTTCTTCTGGAGTCCCTTCATCCGTCCAGTCCAGTGTATGCTCATCTTCTCACTCCTCACAGTTACCTGTTGCATGATCCAGTCCAGTCAACCACAATCAGGAAGATCATCGGTGATAGTAGGCAACCTTGTTTTGTCTTACTCCTCTCTTCACTTCAAAGGCGTCACTGAGCTTCCCATTGTGAATCACTTGGCTGGCATGTAGCATCATATGGCACATAGCTGTTGAATGAGTTTGATAAAGGTTGCTGACAGTGAAGAGCGTAGTGTTGAAGCAGTTGCCTGCCAAATTACTTCTCGGTCGACGCTGTCCAAGAACTTTTCAGAGTGGATGAAGTTGAGTTTGAAGATCCAGTTGACTGTCCATTTTATACTCTGTTGTATGATGATGCGTAGTGTAGCGTTGCAATTTGGTGCGCACATGATTTGTACTTCCTGAATCCAGCCAACCAGCCAGCCAGCCAACCAGTCTGTTCCAGTAGTAGTTTTGAATCCAGTGTATCCTTTAATCTCTCCAGGATGATACTGTTTGAAATTTCGCTTGGTTTGGGCTGACAGAGATATGAGCATGAATCCACACCACTTCTTACTAAGGCTCAGGTCTCACTTCTTTCCAATTTTGACAAGATGGCCCCTCTTACAGTTGATCGTCAGGTGCCTTTCCTTCCTTCCTTCCCTCCCTCCAAACCTTCTGCAGTAGTGGTGTGTGAGTGTGTCCTTTGTTGTCTGTGCTGTGTGTCCGTTTTCAGTGCTTCTGGTGGAATTCCATGTCGTCCTACTGCTCTCCCCGATATCAGACACTTTATGGTGTTGAGCACTTCAATTCTGCTTGTGTCGGAGTGCTTATGTTCACTGGTAATTCCGTGACTGAGCTGCTCGTGGTATTTATCGATGAGTTGCAGTGGAGGTGATGGTGATGATGATTGTCGATTCAAGAGTTTTTCGAAGTGGTCAACTCATCGTTTCCTTTGTTTCTCCTCTCCCGTATCAATGTTTCCTTCACTATCTTTCATTAGTTTCGTCTGTCTTGATCTCTTCCTAACAGATAGTATTTCGGTTATTTGACATTGTGTTTTCAGGTCTCTGCTACTAGCAGCCTGTTGTGCTTCACTTGCCAGTGTGTTGTGGAGGTGTCTTTTGTCTTTCCGTGCACTCCTCTTCACTTCTTTGTCCATTGCCTTGTAGGTTGTACTCTGTCTCTCTTTTCTCTGTTCATCCCTGCACTGCACTACACTGCACTGCACTGCACACACTGGTTCATCTTATGCTTCACCATCAGCAGCTTCACCACCTTTATCAGCTTCCATGTATCCGTGGAGATCCACTCCTTATCTTGCTTCTTCTTCCTTCGTAATATGGTTATGCAGGTTTCCTGCCATGTCTCTCTCAAAGAGTTCTAGTGTTCTTCTACACAGATTTCTTCTTCAAGGATGTTTGTTGCTCAATGTCTTCTATTTTGTCCAGATAGCTGACGTGATGTCCTTTGTAGTTTCATCCTTTAGTTCAGTTTGTGTTCTGGGTGTTGAAGTTGAACTGTATTCTACCACCATCTTCTTTGAGGCTTTGAACTTGATTTTGAAGGTATGTTCCTTGTACTAGATAGTGAGTGGTGTTAACTTACATCTGCTCCTCTTCTTCCAGTAGGCATCGTCTCCAGTTTCTTCACATTGAGATGAAGTCGACCTGATTTTTAGTGTATACATCAGGTGAAATCAAATCCATGTCTCTTTGTGAATCTCCCTGTGCTTGTAAGAAAATAAGCATCTAAGAATCAAAGATTCAAATTATTTCTATTTTTTTAAACTCACTCTCAATTCTGTATTAATCTCCTGAACTTTAGCGATTTTATGAACGTCCTGAAGCCTAGTGAAATAGAAGAATCACAATGCATAAAATTAAAATATTGACAAATAGTTTTCACCGCCAAAAAAGCAAAAAACTAATACTTAAATGTAAATTTCGACTCGACAAAAAAGCATCAAGATTGCAAAGTAAGAACCTATAAATAGATTAAGTGGATAAATAATGTAAATAAACAAATACAGACATACTTGCTAATGTGGAAGTAGATTTTCTCTAGTCTAGTGCTAAGATGATTACGAAATCAGCTTTGTAGCCCAGTAAAACGGGAAAATGAAAATATTTACTAACAGTACATTGATCCGGTTGACTGATTTTGTAATTCAGCCCAGTATAAAGTTGTTTTTATGGAGTCAGCCAAAAATGTGAACTGCCTAAATAAAAACAAAATCATTTCAGAATTTACCTATCTATCTAACTACAAATTTATGCACTTGAGCAATTCCATACTAGGATGAAACGGGTGTCAAATCCTTCCAGGTTTTCTGTGCTTCTCCAGCTGATGTCACTTTATGGTGAATAATACCTTACTATATATATATATATATATATATATATATATATATATATATATATATATATACTTAGGATGCTGAGACGTGTAATAAATCAGTCTTTGGCGTTATTTCGTGTAGGCAGAAAATTCACAGATAAACTAATCACTACTAATTCACTTAAAATTATGTCACTATCCATCTACCTAGGAAAGGTCATACAGACTTTGAAAAGCTTTTGAAAAAAACTTTTTCCTCTTAGTAGTTATCACTTCGACAAGTGTTACCATGAAGATGCTGTAGAGAAAGTGAATTCACTATTATTCCACTTAAAATATTTAGTGATCAATGAGTAAAGTATTTCTAACTGAAACTTAATGACTGAATTCAACAAATAATAAATTTCTAAATCCTGTTAACAGAATACTTCATAATACTGATTTTTATTTGTGTATTGCTGAAGGGAGAAACATATTTGTGGTACCTTTTTCTCAATTTTTTAGAGCTATGGTGGCAACAGATATTTTATAACCATTACAAACATCCATACCATGGTTATTACGAATGTTCTGGAAAAGATAGAGCACTGATTCCGATTTCATCATTATAAAAGTGTAATTCAATATAATCTCGGAGTATCATGAAAACAAAAAGGAAATCTTTTTCTTGGCTTCATCCCCCTTTAACACATATGAAATTTGACAAAGACTGTGAGTTATAGAATAAAGGAGAATACGATTGAGGAGGAAGCGTCCAGTTTGTGCAACAAACTATTCAAAAATGGTTTTTTGAGACAACCAAACCCTTTAATGAATTTACACCCTGTAGTAAAAGTACAAGTATTATCTCAGATAGCTTCTATTTTCTTATTATATTATGCTAATGGTCATCCGATAAATTCGTAAAGAAACATATTCTTTAGAAAATGCCAATAAAAGACATTTCATCGGCTAGCAGAAAACCCCTATGTATTCGGGCACAATTTAGAGGTGGTGACCTACTCAAAGAGATATTAATTTACAGATGATACATATCAGTTCAGAGTACTTCTAATGCTGGCAAATCACAAATAACGTTTTCCGCACGCTCGATGGTGAACGGAAGATGAATCACCAAGACTGACCACTTCCTATTGAGTTTATCAGTTCGACTATTTCTATGGAGCCAGTTAAGTTGGTCACTGCTGTAGGAATTTCATTTTCCGTGTTCACGAACACATCCCAGCGTGGTTCAGCAAATATGTGGTTACAACCTTCAACAGCTTTAAATTAGTGCACTTAGTTCAAAAAAACCGTATGGCAGATTTGAATAACTCATTCTTTATTATTTAACAGATTCCCACCAGTCTGAAAAAACTCACCCGGCTCCGAATCCGTTAAACTACAGAAGTGGTGGCAACGAGAAATAGATAACCTCAGTTATGTTTCGAAAAACCCTGATGTTTTCGCTACAGCTGTAGTGATCAAGATCCGGATTTACAAGTTCCTCAGCATCCTACTCCATATAACCTAATTTTCAAACTTTGTACTGCAGCTTTCCCACCCTCTCTATAATCTGCCATAGTTTTAACAAATTCTCTTACCCCATTTGTTCCCTAACATGAACAGAAATTTAACAAGCTATTATTTCATAAATTATTTATCCTTGTTTATTTAATCCTATTTTCATGCATACTCTCCTGTTTTTTCATCGAACTAAGACATTTTTTTGTGCATTAAATTCTAAACCGTTTATGATCACGTTTTTCAAAATGCAAGCGATTGCATTATACAACCTCATCAACGTTATATTTTTGACATACATCAGAGAAAACTGGAGAAATCACTTTGTACTTTCAAACTTTCACTGTCAACTGTCTGCTTCAAGTTTGTTGTGAATTTTGTATTGGTTGATTACATCCTCAGGGGATAGCATACCTTATAAATAGATATGATCTCACATATATGTATGGTATACGGTGGATAGGAATAGCATTCAGTCGGGGAAAGACCAGTTAGGAACGAATCGAAAAATAATTCATCGACCAATCGAAAGAGCGAAACGTCAACAGCGTAGAGGATATTGGTTATACGAATTGTCATCCGCTATCGTCCGACAGTAACCCTGCCTGGTTAATTAGTTCACTAGTTACTAGCTGGTCCTAAACCCAACTAAAGAGGGAAGGTTGGGCACAGGGCTAGCAACCCTACCCAGGAAAACAAATACAACCACTACACACACACTTCAAAGCACAAACAAAATATAAAAAATAATAACAATATTGTTCCTCACTACTATCGGAGAGGTGAAATCACGCCATTGGTGAAAGCCTTCCAGAAGCCAATTGGCCGATGTGTCTTCATCTCTCTCCATCAAACCGAAAGTAAACATGGCGACACAGAATGTCCACACAATGCGTGAACCTACCAAGACTGTCCAGATTGCAAACGAGATGAGCAGGTATCGCATTCAAGTGTTACGAATTTGCGAAAATCGATGGAATGCAAGTGCACTCTCCAAACTGTCAACTCGAGAGGAGTCAATAATCTACTCCAATATTGTCACACAGACAACACGACACGACAACCACGAACACAGCACACTCAGTTTTGCAGTAGATATCATGAGGTCCCCTCCAAAAGGCACACACATTCTCTGTCTCCCTCCATCTCTCATGCAGTGGAAACCAATCTCCTCCACCATCATAACACCAAGGTTCAACTCAAAAGGATGGAAAGTCACAGTCATACAATGCTACGCCACGCACCTACAAATAATGCAGATGAAGGGAAGAGAAGAAGGAGGAATTCTACAGACAACTGCAACCAGCACTGGACGACAAGACCCCAACACCACTTCACTTCACTTGGCGACATCAAAATTCTAATGACTGGGTGACATGAATGCCAAACTGAGAGCGGACAACACAGGAAGTGGAAGAGAACTCATCATCGGTCGAGAAGCACTCGGTCAGCTGATGAACGAGAATGGAGAATTGTTTACAGATTTCTGCACATTCAACGATTTGGTGATTGGAGACAATGTGTTCAAGCACAAGGATATCCACAAACCGAGTGACATCGATTTCACCAGACACCAGAACACACTAAAAATCAAGTCGACATCATCTCAATCTCAAGAAGGTGGAGACGCAGCCAGCCTACATGACACAAGATCAGATCAAGAAGGAGAGCAGATGTAGGCAAAGAACACTATCTAGTGCAAGGAACCTTCAAAATCAAATTGTAAGCATTCAAGCAAGTTGGTGATAGACCACAGTTCAAGTTCAACACACAGAACTGGAACTGAACTCAACTGAACTCAATTGAAGGACGAAACTACAAAGAGAATCTTCACATCAGCCATCAAGACAAAACGGGAGATATTGGGCAACATCCCTGAAGAAACCTGTGTGGAAGAACAATGGAAGTCTTTGAAAGAGATGTGGGAAGAAACCTGCATAACCATATTGGGAATGAAGAAGAAAGAAGGTAAGGAATGGATCTCGACGGACACATGGAAGCTGATGGAGCAGGGAGATGAGGATGGTGAAACAGAAGATGAACCAGTGCAAGGATGCACAACGAAAAGGGGAACTGAATACAACCTATAAAACACTACATTGTACAAAGAAGTGAAGAAGTGTGCGCGGAAGCACAAGAGACACTTCTATGACACATTGACAAATGAAGCACATCAGGCTGCTGGTTGGAGAGTTACAGACCTGACAACATTGTATCAAACAATCAGGTTACTATCTATCTGTGAGGGAAGAGATCAACACAGATGAAACCAATAAAAGATGATGGAGGGAATCCAATTACCGAAGAAGAGAAACAAAGTAAACCATGGTCTGAACACTTCAAAAAGCTCCTGAATCGACCACAACACCAACACCATCACCACCACCACCATCATCATCATCATCATCTGCACTTCGTCCACAAATACCACCTGCAGCCCAGCCACAGAACTACCACTCAACACAAGTCCTCCAACAAAAGTCAAAGTTCTGAGAGCGATAAAGCCACTGAAATGTGTGAAAGCAGCAGGACCAGATGGAATCCTACCAGAAGCACTGAGAACAGACGCAGAGACAACAGAGGATATGCTCACACCACACCACACACCACACCACTATTGCAGAAGGTCTGGAAGGAATGGAATGTAGCTGCCAACTGATTGGAAGAAGGGCTACCTTGTCAAACTCCAGAGGAAGGGAGACCTAAGTGTGTGCAACAACTGGCGCGGAATCACGCCCCACCACTGCCCACCAAAACAAAGCAAAATATTGAGCCGCATCATCATGGAGAGACTAGAGGATACACTGTGTTCAAAACTACTACCGGAAAAGACCGGCTGGCTGACTGGCTAGCTGGCTGGCTGGATTCAGGAAGTACAAATCATGTGTGCACCAAATTGCAACGCTACACTACGCATCACCATACAACAGAGTATAGAATGAAAGTCAACTCGATCTCTACCTCAACTCAACTTCATCCACTCTGAACACGTCTTCGACAGCGTCGA